AATTCATACAGAGCCCAGGAGTTGAGTGTTGCTCTTTCAGTCCTGCAAGTTTCATTTTCTGTACTTTTTTTTCGTTGTTGTATCACGTTTTTTAAGCAAACAAAATCCAATATTTAGAGCTAAGCAAAAAGTCTTTACCTCTTCCATTGTTATCTTTTTTTTTTTTTTAAGTTAAAACAAGGATACGAATCTTTGTTGGTAACCATTAAACTACATTCCCGCTTCTGAATCATGTCCATGATTTCCTAGAGCACTGGCTGATGCGGTCCTCAGAAGCCGGTCAGCAGTGCCGAGGGGTCATCCCCGTGCTCTTCAGGGGCATCCAGAAATCTGAGCCTGCAGCCTCCTCGGAGCAATCAGGAAAGACAGACACGAAGGCATTGTGGATCACAGAAGAAAATCCTCTTCGTTGCAAAGGGACTTCTTCAGTGTGGAAAGTGTAATGCTTACGTATGGAAAAGTCATCCCCAGGTCTTTTCCAAGTAGCTGTAGTGTAGCATGTGTTCCTTTCTCTTTGAGCATTTGTCAGATGTGTTTGAAGTCCATTCAGTCCACATGGGCTGCATTGTGAAAGTGGCTCACAGGAACTGAAGCAGACAGTATCCATTAACATTAATGAAATTCCTGAGGCAACATTCCCCCACACTGGGTTCAATATTAACCTCAGTATGAGGTTAGATTTTTTCCAAATAGTCTATTCAGTTCTTTTAAAAATAACACAAACAGTTTTCAATAACAGAATTCCAATTAACCAGATATAATCCAAATGTACAACTCCCACATATAAAGTATATATATATACTACAATACTGAATATTTATATACTGCAATATATATACACACTGTATATATGATATGTATATTATGTATATACACTGTTGTATAGATAAGTATATATAAGTATATCCATATAGAGTATAGATGAGTAGATATATATATTTATGTATAAGTATATACATATATATATATATATATATCACTCTTACCAGAATTGGTCAGTCGGTATGTTTCTCTCATTGAGTTTTTTGCTTTCTTGCTGTTGTAGGCACTGCACTTGTCGTCCAGTGGGACCATGTACATCTCCAGGATAATTATAATCTGGGAAGCTTCACGTTCCAGGCAACCCTCCTCACTGACGGGCGCATCATCTTTGGATACAAAGAAGTACGTGGTAGATTCATACCTTCCTTCCTTCCCTCCCACCCACCTCACTCTCAGCTCTACATTGTTTCAAAGGGTCAAGAAAGGAGCATCTTGCAGTCAGGAATGACAACGTTATTTGAACGTCCTGGTTTCTTTTGTTTGATAATAATCTTTTTATTCATCTTTTGAATATTCTGAATGGTAAATAATCACAGTTCATTTTTTAAATCCCTTAGGCTTTGTTTGTTTGTTTATCATGATGTCATTTGCATTCTTTGGTATTTCTATGCAGTTTTCCAATGAAGCTATGTCCAATTTGGAGGAATTTCTTACCTGAATCGTGTTACTTATGTTTATTTGCCTATCAATATATGTGACATTTTTTTTTCTAATTGCAAATATATTAGTAGTCATGAACAACTTGGGTGACCCAGTACCCAAAGTCTTCCAGGACAGCTGAATCCCAAATGCCCTGGTCAATGTTTATTGTATTCAGAGAGGAAGGGTTAACTGGACATGTGAGTGACAGAAACAATGGAGGGATTTAAGCTTGCTATTTGTTTTGTCTTACCAAGTTGATAAACTGAAGATGGTACCCTGAAAGTCACAGAAAGTCTAGACTAGACAAATCACACATTTAAGTTTGTTCTCCATTGACACTGCAATTAAGAGTTATTAGACAACCTCAAAACTCATGGGGAGGAAGCAGGAAATAGAGGGACAAAGTTAAAAAATAAACTTCAGGGGTGATATTTAAGGAGTCACTTGTCACAAGAGAAATTGTAGCAGGGACATTGGTAATTGATATTATTACTATCATTATTTATAATAATAGTCTACACCTTCTTTTCAAAAAGCGCTACTTTTTCCCATGAAGAACCAATTCCTGGTTATAGAAAGCCTGTTGTTAATAATCATAAAATCATTTCTTTGAGCAAATCTGTTGATCCAATTATCTACTCTAAAAAGTACAGGATAGTTCCATTTCAGTCACATCAGCCAATGTTTTTGAAATATATAGCCATGCCAGATGCTTGCACGTGGAAGTTTGCATTTACGTGGGGCGAAAACGTAAATAGACTGTAACGTGGCTCTGACCTGCTCTGTGTTGCTTTGCCAGAGCTGTGTTTTCTTACCATAACCTCCCTATCCTGACACACCAGTCACTGGACGCTGGAGGAGTTCTCTCAAGGGAGCGCATTCATTGTGAGCTTTCATTTGCATCAAGCGAATTGCAGAGACTAGAGTGGTCTTTTGGAATGTTAACCAACACTGGTAACATTCCTGGAAGTTCTAGAGTCTTGCATCCACGAGCTGTAGGTTTTGTCAGAAGAGAGGTTCGGGGGCTTAGTGAGGTCTCGCTTTAGTCTCGACTGTCAAAAATTGTCTGTATTTACCTGTGTGCTCGGGACTGTCTTACATTACAGAGTAATAGTTCCTTCTTCCTGTTCTCCCTTTGTTGAGGTTGGCCGTTTGAATGTTTTTCCTCCTCTATATTTTAATCAATGGAAACTTTTCTATTTTGGTTTTCCTGTTTTGTCATGGGGAAATATGCAGCTCAGTCAAGGCTAATGCGTTCTGGATATTCCAAAAATAGTGTCCCATTGAACATCTTCCCTCTGTACTCCGAGTTCTAAATCAGTGACTTTTGCTCTATTATTTACCTTAAATCTCTTTTTCCATTACAAAGCAGATTATTCTTTTTTCTCATTCTACCATTTATTTTTCCTAATGATAGTTGCATATTTCACTTTGTGGAGACAAGCTTCCATTTGTAAAATTTGCCAGAGAATGTTTCCTTTACATTAAGGGTGAGAATTTGATGCTCTTGACATTTCTAGAAAGGTATTTATAAGTTCAAAGCATAAATACCTATGTCACAAGATTTCTTAGTCAAGTTACAGAACTGAGCATTTCATAACTAGTTATTCCTGACCTGGCTAAATTTACAGACGTGATGTTAGCTATAGATAGGGAGGCAAGTGCTATTCATAATGTAATACACTTCTAATGGACTCATGATCAAAGCAAACAAAACTCACTGTCATAGAGCCAATTAGAACTCATGGTCACCCTCTGAAACAAAGTAGATCTGCCCTTGTGGGTCTGGAGACCGTAACCCACAGGAAGGGGAAACCGTGTCTTTCTCCCACAGATAGCTGATGCTTTCAAACGGCTAGCCTTGCAGTTAGCAGCCCAATGCGATATGTACTACGCCACCAGGGCTCCTGAAGACTAAATGCTAGCTCTGATTTAATGTGTGAGAAGAAACTTTCTAATTACATTAAAGCCACCAGTAAAAGACTTAGGTAATTTGTAGATTAAAATTGTGTTATGAATTGGATACATATATTGAAGCAAATTACATGCTTTGCCCTCACATAATCTATACCAGTAGTTAATATGATTCCTTAGTATGCCAACTTCTCATACTAACCATTCACATTAAGTCCCTGCAGTCATGTCCCAAATATATTTATTTCTTCAACAGCGTACTTTTTCCCCTCGTACGAACTACATAGAGAACGGTTGATAACTAGAAAATACAAGGTAGAATTAAAAAGCGTTGCTGCAAAGTGTGGTGAAGAAACCAAGTGGTGCCCAGCTATCAGAAAGCAGTGTCTGTCCCAAGTCTTCAAGGCTTGTCTTAAAGCAAGCAGCTATCTGAGTGATGTGTCAAATAATTCCACACTGAAGAAACATGCCAGCCTATGTGATCCAAGGATTTTAAGTAATAAAATCCAAAACCAAAGTGGGGAATACTCTCACAGCTTGAAATGTGAACACCCTGTTTGCAGAAGGCTATGGATGACCCTGGAAGTCCAAAATCCATATGTAGTGTTTCTGCCCTGATTGAGACTCCCCTGAATTCCCTCTTACAGAGTCCAAGCGTGTGAATAGCCTTGCAGTCAAACAAATGATGGCAAATTCTGTTATGGCTGATGTCATTGAGTTACAAAGTAACATTTTAACATTTTATCTCCCTTTGACCCACTTATTTTCAAATGTTTTTCACTTACTCAGTACCGTTGAGTCAATGTTGACTCATAGGGATCCCCTGTGGGTTTCTGAGACTGTAACTGTCCCACAGGAGCTGCTGGACTGCCGACTGTGCTTTCTGCAGCCCAACGCATAACCATGTTTTATATGACTCTCTGTACATGAAACAAAGAATAGGCAAATCTATAGTGGCCATTACTGGATTAATAATAATCTAGGAGCCCTGGTGGTGTAGTGAAGATAAGTTGGGCTGAAAACTGCCAGGTCCACAGTTCCAATCCACCAGCCGCTGCAACCAGAGAAAGACAGGGTTTTCTCCTGACACGCTCTATAGCCTCAGACCCCTGCAGGTGCTCGCTGTGAGTCCACACGGACTCGGATGGCAGTGAGTTTGGTTTTGAGGGGCATGGCAGGGACGGTTGGGGGTGAGGGAAGATGGAGAGTACATAACAGTGAGGATGAGAAAGAAAATATTCTCCAATTGATTGAGGTGATGAATGCATAACTTTTTTCCATAGAACTGAACGGTTGACTTGTATGATTTGTGAATTGTATGCCAGCAAAACTGTATGAAAATGTATGTTAACCTAAGGGTATATGTTGAGAAACATCAGCTTCATGTGTTGATATTGTTAGTTAATAAAGGTTTGTATGATTTTGTACCCATAATAATAATTTAAACATTATCACTGTGGAATTCCAAACTAACGGGTGAGATAATTTCTGGTCTGACCTTTCTGCCTTGAGTTTGTTTGGCTTTCCAGAGCTTCTGGGATGCATGGTTTGATTGGATATTTTTGTTTCTTAAGATACTGTGAAGAGACTAAGATGTGTTTTTTTGAAAGAACTTGTCTGCAGTTGTGCAGAGATCGCAGAGGCAAGTTTACACAATTTGGCAGGATGGGGGAATAAACACGTGAATAGATGAGCTGGCACCCTGAGAGCAATACTGTCTTACTCACCCTTGGACATTCATTTGTATTTCTTATCACCCATACTCCTCTCGTAACGGGATGGAGATCGGGAACTACTGCTGCTGTTTAAAAGAAACGAAAATCACATTCAACTTTCTGCACCAGCATCAGCTGATTCACTATAACCATGTGAGGCACATGGCAATGCAGATGGACGTTTCTGGCTTCCTCATTGCCCAAGGCATGGATTCCACGTGCCTCCGCGATCGAGTCAGGATCGGCAGAAAATAGGATGCAGTCATTGAGCTTCTTCGCCAGCAGTCAAGTCTCCCTCTGATTCTCAGCCTCTCAGCAACATGGGAGCCCCAGCTCTCCAAGTTCCTTGTCCCACAGCCATGTGATCCCTCAGCCTTTGCCTACCTAGGCCAGGAAGCCAGCCTGCGTACCAGGCTCAGCCTGGGGCCAGATGAGGAGGAGGTACCCTACAGTCTTGAAGCTCTTCCTCCCAGTCTCTCGGCCACAGTCGGCGATATCTCTGGTGTCAGGGACCTCCACCGCTTTGCACGGAGATCTTGAACCTATTCTTCCAGGATGCAAAGTTTCTCTCTTCTCTTTCCCGGCCTCGAAGAATGGCTCATCCTTACAGCCACAGGGCCAGTAAGAAACACTGACCAATCCCCCGTGTGTTTGTGTGACAGAGTCCCACCCCGTCATTGGGTGAGACTTACAGAGACTTGGGGAGCAGAGCCCTATTAAGAAATTCCATTCCACCACAACATGCTAGTCAGTGGAATAGCAAAGCCACAGCTTTTAAACATAATTATTTCTCCAGTACCTTTCCCTCTGTATTGTTCACCGAGATAATTGGTATTCAGTTTTGAATTATAGGTGCTTAGTTTAATCCAGCTGTTTATTTTATAGTTAGAATGATATCAGAATCCAAGGAAAATGTCTTTTTCCTTTTTGCCTTTGAAATAACACCTGTTCAGTTTCAGGTAACCAATTATTTCTCTTATGCAGATTTCATTATCTTATAAAATTAGCCATTTTGTCCTCCATTTATTAACTATATTAATAAGAGTCACTTATTATTTTAAGTTGATAATA